TGAACCTTACTTTGTTTGGAATTATCAATGTTGCCTTTTTTTTACATGAGTAACCGCTTCACACCACACTCCAAAACAAAATTTGGGCTTGAACAGCGCTCATTTGGAAAATAGGCATTTATAGGCACTTACAGGCATTTAGGCACGAACACCCAAAATAGGCATTTGTAGGCACTTTAAAAACACGATAAAATTCCTTTTCAACCTCTAATTCATACTCACATATCAAAATGGCATGACAGAAACACAAGGAACAAAAGAGGCATTTGCCTATAATCCGGTCTCTAGTGATAAGTTTCCTACTTGAAAGTTTTATAAACTATACCAATTCCCTTTCAAGCTTAGTACACTGACATTTTTGTTATATTTGTTACCCAACAAATGTAAATGAATGTTGCATGTTTCTTTTGTGTGGGTATGTTCTTGCATTTTTTTCTTATTCTGTTGACTTGTATAGTTAAATACAGCTCATACGAGAATTTTAGAGCAAATTATCAAAAAATAATTCATACGCACACATGCACACACATACATACACACACTAATCTTTTTATGTTTCCAGTATGATATTACTCAATGCAAAAAAACATCGATATGTCGAACCATCTCTATATAGAACGACCATGACATCCCCATGGGAGTGCCATGCAAGAGTGTAGCACTGTACTATGCACATACTGAGCTCCTGTTCTTTTCTCTACTCAACATATGGAGAGCTTTGTTGTATACTCTACAAGTGCACTACAGACTACCCATGCTGACGTCAAAAATCTTCAGGCCAATAAAGCAGCACTGATATGTTGTGAGACAAGGCACTGAACCGAAAGGGCAGTGCAAGTGATAGAGGAAAAATTATTGATGTGCATGTCTCAAGCAGTGGCAATTTTATTTGTACCTTGAAATGCTCAGTTTACATTAATAAGTTTTGCAATGCCAATATTATACCACTTAGTGACATCCTTTGAGTTTAATACCACGGCTGCTAGATAAAAAAGAAGGTGCGACCTGTTGCGTCGCATCACCATCAATGGGCGAGCACGTCTTGGCAGAGTTGATAGTTTCAGCCATTTTTTTAAAGAAGGCGCTGGCACTCCACGTATCAAAGCAGATGAGACTGCGTGCTTCAACGTGGTTGCACCAAGATTTGTGCGTGTCCGTGTGCTCTTTAGTGTGCTTTGTCGTGCTTTTCTTTTTGTGTGATCGTGTGAGGGAAGTAGCTTGCTTCAAGTTTCCTGTGCTCGAGTATGATTCTTCGGTGCGTGCGTGTGTGGCAGATGGTTTTTTAGTGGTGTGACGCCGCAAAGCTGGTTAGTGTCACTGAGCAGCTCGAACATGTAAAAAGACGCTACTTTGAACTACAGCGCATTTTCCTGCAATCGACAGTGTTGAGAAGCGTATCGAGATGGGTATTATTCATAACAGAGCACTTATTTTTGTCACAAACGAGCTCTGAATCAGACGCACGCCGTCAACTCCAGACGACAGCATCAAACCACCCTCTTAACATTCTCTTCCTGGGCACGCGCAACGAAACAAGAAAACAAGCATCAACAAAATGTACCTAGCGCATGCCCTTACCCTATGTACACGCGACAGCTAACCAGCACAGACAGATAGTATGGAGAATTCGATACATCGGAGCGGAGCTTCTTTCAGGGTCGACCGTCTTCGCAGTAGAACCGGCGAGACAAAAGCTTTTCCGTAGGCTATGGGTGTGGTATGTGTGCTATGCACCGTACAATTACTTGGAATGTTCACAAAACCGGGAAGGATCCAAACTAGCGGTGGGGAAGGATAGGACAAGTGGTGAACTCAACCAATAAGTTCTGATGTTCAAGTGGTTTGAGTGAGTACCATATATACTCGTGTAAGGGCCGCACTTTTTTTTTCGAAAACTCTACTAGGTGCGGCCCTTACACGAATCAGGTCGATCACAGCTCACCAAAGGTCTGTACTGTTTATGCAACAGTATCAGAGCGCAAGAGAGTCACAAATGACATGCCAGGAATGTTTTTATTCAGATTCCATTTCGCTGTCGCTGTCCTCGTTCTCGGAAGAGCTCGCCTTGGCGTCCGCGTCTTCCCAGAGACGGTCATCTTCGGTGCCGTTCATGCAGTTCGAAATTCCTCTTACCTTGAAGCTTTTCGCAACTACTTCTACTGACATGGCACGCCACACATTCAAAATCCATTCACACACCTGTTGGAGCGACGCCCGCTTCAGCCGTCCTGTTGGGGTCTTCTCATGAACGTCTCCAGCTATCCATTCAGAGTAACATGGACGAAATTCCACTTTGAATGGCCGGTTAACGCATACGTCGAGGGGCTGCAGCATACTCGTCAGGCCTCCGGGAATAACAGCCAAGTCCGTACGAGTTGTGGCAAGTCGGTTCTTGACGCAGTCGGTCAAGTGGCCCCTGAAACTGTCCGCAACAAGGAAGGCTTTCCGTTGTAACAGCCCTCTAGGTTTCTTTGCCCAGACGGCCTTAATCTAGTCAACAACCAGTTCTTCAGACATCCAGCCCTTCTCTTGAGCACGTACGACGATTCCCTGAGAGAACTTCTCTTTGGGAGAGTATTCCTTTTAAATACGACAGACGGCAGAAGCTTCCTGCCGTCTGCCATGATGCACAACATCACAGTGCACCTTTGTCGTTCTGCACCAGTCATGCACACAGACACACTTTTCGCACCATTCAAATCCACTGTGGTGCTTTCCGGTGCATCGAACCACACAAGTGTGTGGTCCGCACTCCCAATTTGGGACAGGTTGTATTCATTCTCCCTCCTGAGAGAATGATGAAACTATACGACATGGTCTTCGTACTCGCACGGCAGTTTTTGTCAAATTGTCGTTCGGCGCTGAATAGAAAGCTGGTTACGGTTCATAAACCACGTAGCCTAGCCTCGACTTGCCTTGAATTGTGCCTGGGGTATTTCCATGTAGTCAGCGATGTTGAGGGCTTTGATCTATATCATGTCTGTCGATACATTGTAGCCGTCCCTTCCTTTGTCGACGCCGTAGTTGAGGGGCTCGCTTTCGAGTTGAAGGAACTTGCAGTTTTTCCCGCAAAACGCCTTTCGGCTTCTGTTATTAGCGGCGAGGGCACCTTTTGCTTCATCCAGTAACGCACGCGCTTCTCATCAACGTCGTACTTCCGTCCAGCTTCCCGCGCTGCTTGGCATAGTCAATCACTTGCAGCTTAAATGCTGCTGTGAATGATCCCAGATGCCGGCCCATCGTCATTCACGTGTGCGCTGGCTTCTTCAGGGCTCACTACTACCAACAAAGTGACACCAACGACACCGATCTGAAAACGCGCTGCAAACGTATCGACACAATGCTAGGAACGATGCCAACAAAGAGGCCGCACAAGGCAAATATGGCGGCGTGCCGTCAACTGCGTGGTCAGCGCGTCGGCGGAAGTAAAACAAAAGTGGAAAAGCTTGCAGCGCCATCTGGCTGTAAATGAACTAACTACACTTTTCTGGCTAGACTTTCTGAACTTCAATATTTTTTTTTTTTTTTTTTCAAAATTTCCGCTTTCAAAGTTGGGGTGCGGCCCTTACGCGAGGACGGCGCTTACACGAGTATATACAGCAGTATAGTGCGGTCAGTCGATGCTGAAGAATTGAGTTATGATGCCGCTGGAGTACTTTGTTGAAGAGTGTCACCAGGACGACGACCAGCACTTTAGTTGGTTTCAGCATTTTTGTGAAGAGAACTATTCAAGACACGTTCGAAGAATTGTAGATTACACAGGTGTGGTGAATATTCAAGGTCGTGGAGTGTTCTTGCGCAGTTTATAGTGCGTTAGATTGCATTTTCAGCGTGGTAAGATTGTTTCCGTTGTTTTAAATACCGTCTCAGTGATTCTGTGAGTTGTAATTGATACTTGCTGAGTGTGCAAGTTTTTGCGATGCCTTTACTGAGAATACATATTTTCTTTGTGTTGTTAACTCTTGGTTATAACTAGGTCTTTAGTGCACCCCAACTGACGTTGTTAGAGCACCAAAAAGACCTACATTTAAATTGTGCATGCTTTCGCGGTGAGCTTCCCAGGGCCGATACGTGAGCCCTTGAAATCTGCCCAGCGAATAGCTCCCTATGAATGGAATCAGTTACCCTTTTCATTTCAGGCTAGTCAAACAAGCCGCATTCGTGGAGAGTATTGAGGCCTACACTCAACGAAAGATTTGCCCTCCTAGGGCGAACTGTTCACATATAAGGTGTAATAGGTACTCTTAATAGCGATTCAAAATTGAACCTGCGATGTACAACTACGAAATGTGTTATTTATGGCCTACTGCCGTGCATAGCGATGCGTGTGAAAGCGTTTTTCCTGTGAAGAGTGTTGGCGCCAGAGCGGGTGCAAGGTGAACTAGCCCCGTTTCACGGCTTCGGCGGCAGGCAACTGGCCGCACCTTGTTTTTTATTGAGTGGCCGTGTCAATACAATGCTGACTTGATTATAACGCTGAAGAGAACTCACTGTAACAACTTGTATAAAAATAATGCAATTTTGTAGCTCCTTTATAAATAGATATAAAAATTGTTATGTTCTCTGCTTTTCTTTTTCTTTCAGAGCACTTTTTTATTTGTGAATATGCATGCATTCTTCAATAGAACACTGCAAAATGCTGCTAAAAAAAGAGAGTTAAGCATATTATACAGGAACGGCCCGATTCAGCTTGGTGCTTTTACAGCATAACCTGCTATAATTAAGCAGCAGAAAAATAAAATACTGTTATTACCTCTGATAATTCTTATACATTTTTTTTTCCTTTTATATTACTGTGTATGTATTGCCAAACCATGCTATATATATATATATATATATAATATACCCACACACACATTAATAATATAATCAGTTTCATTTTATGTTTGTTAAATATGAGTATGACCATGACCACGATAAAGAAAACATTTTCATTAAAATTTTTAAAGATGGTGTATTTTGCATACTACTACTACGAGGCACTCTATAAAGGCACTTACATTCTTGTAGGCATTGCGGACAGCCGGGTTAGCCTGGAAAAATATCACAAGGTATATGCATCAAATGTCATTGTCAATATACTAGTGCATAATGTAATCTTTGCCAGGTATATAAAAACTGTGGAACTAAAAGAATTTCATAGATTAGGGTATTTCCACAAGCTTCTTCAGAACGAAAGTCAAAGAGTGTGCTCCTCATTTCATAGCTACATTGCTACTGATCTCTTAGCTGTTTTTAGTTTGCTCATTGTCCTAATAAATTTGCAGGTATTGCCATAACTTATGGCTATAACCACACCTCCTGCATCAGGGTGTCTAGCAAATTGCAGAATTCAATTTCCCTGACTTTTCCAGGTTTTCACTGACCATTTTAGCTAAAATTCTCTGACCTATACAACAGACACCATTTTGTGGAAATGGCCCGTGAAGCATATTAAAAGGGTACAGAAAACACATTTCATTGTAGAGTAAAACATTTTTTGCAACTGCCCTCATTCTCAAAATGCACTTCAATTAGGGTTTGAGGGAGTTTATTTCGTCTTGAAGAATAGAAGCTTCAAGTTGCTCTTCACTAAGCAGCCTTTGCTTTTTTTTCTTGTAGCTCTTTAATCAGAGCTGCTGCTCTCTTTTTCTTCTTCTCTAATTCAGTTGTTTATTCTCGCTCTCTTTTCTTTGTTTGCAGCTGCTCCCTATAGATGCTGTAGGCACTGCGAATTGTCTTCACCATCTTGTCGGTAATGTCTACTTGAGCGATGCCACCTGCTGCCAAGACCACATCATGCACTACTCTCTGTGCCACAAGAAAATCTTCTTTCAAATTTTCAACAAGGCATTCCTTGTTGACAGAAAAGCCTCTCTCTACCACAGCATTGCCGTGAGACAAGCACGAGAGAAGTTTCACAAAAAACTGCAGCTCCTTGTGATCCTGGGAACATACGTTTGTCCACAGAGTATCCAGCCTCTGTTTCTTCCTGTCAAAATTTGCCAGCCGTGTACTGCTTTCTGAGCACACTTTCACGTAGGAGCGATGGGCTCGCTCTGCTTGCAAGCCGGTCATCCAGTGGTGCTCGGAAAGTACTTCAAGTGCCAGCGTAAGCCGCCTGGGACCAGCCTCCAAAGACAATGCACAGACAGGGTCCAAACAGCCTGCACCCATGGCCAACTTGTACTTAAGCGGCGATCTCTCCACCCCTTTCTGTGCACAAGCCTTGACAAACCATATGCAGCCTTTTTTAAAATTCATTATTGCAAGCTGTGACAACTTCTTGTTCTTGCGGAGCTCGTTTTTTGCCAAAAACCCAACGTCGAATGCGGCTACATTTACTGCATTTTCTGGTAGGCTTAGGTCTATCTTCATCAACTTGGCAATCGTGTCGGCAGCATCGAGAACTTCCCGTTTTACAATTCTCGACAGCAGTGAATGCAGAATGCTCTCTAGTGCTGCTGACAGGAATGGAACCATTGGTTTATCCATTTGAAATTCACGCAGAAAGGGTTCCAATTCCTCAGCAATCGAAAGAGCAAAAGCTAGCTTTGCTGACAAGACCTGATCAGACACAGCTTCTTCAACCACTTTGTAGCTTGAGCATGTTGGCCTCTTGTGTGCTTTTTCTTTACACTGCTGCACAAATACAATGAGGTGTGGTAGAATTTCCAGTGCCCTACAGATTACAGTACTGTTTTCCAGCCACCTCACTGCACAGAACTTGATGGGGAATTTCGAGCACCCCGTGAGGCTGACGAAGTCAGCGCAACGTGCAGGAACGCATTTGAACAGGTTGTAGGCGCTTCAAAGAGATGATACCAAATCCCAGCCAGATGCAACGTGGCCAGCTTTATAAGCACCATTGATTGCATGAAGGCCAGAGCATCTTATGTCGAGGACATGGCTCTCATCTGACACGCGAAGCTCTTCCTTCAGAGACCACAAAAACTTAAAATTGACATTTAGCCCGTCCATGGACACTTGCAGGATTTTGGACCCTTTGATTTCCTCCACCGCTTGACGAAACGCTGACGCCAAGTCTTCAGTGCACGTATGACCCATGAAACAAGACGTCAGGTAGCGAGTCTTCACGCTGTCGTCAGCAGCATCCCAGTATCTAATGAGAACATCCATTTGCTGTTTCTGGGTGACCTTATTCAGCGTTTCGTCGAAACAGACTACCAGGTAAGGCACATTGACGAGACTCGACAGCAACATATTGCGAAAGTACGGCGCAATGCCATGGAAAATGGTGTAGCCTACCTTGTCTTTACCCAGCTGAACTTTTGCAGCCACCTCAGAAGTGGGAAACATCAGTGGAAAAAGTGCCGCAGACGCTGCCACAGAACGAAAGAATCCATGTGTCGTTATGGTATTGAGACACCAAATTATTTCTGCTTTAGTCACGTTGTTCTTAAACAAAAAACCACCCACTGACACTTGCACAGGAGCTGTAGTCACTGGAACTTCGGTAGCAGCAGGCGCAGATCCAGCACTACTGCTAGGCGAGGCGTCCGTCGGGCTTTTAAAAAATGACAATATCTTTGTCTGGGAAGCACTTTTGAGAAAATTCAATGCAGCAATGTGCTTCGTGCTAGAGGCATGACTTGAAACAGCTCTGTGACCCATGTTGCTCAGCAAAAACGTTTTTTGGCAAACTGTACACATGGCTTTGTGCGAATCATTTTCCACAGGCCTAATCCAACTTGCATAGTCGGAGACACTTGGGTTCGCCCATTCCGCATTAAAGGAACACTTCTTGCCTCCTGACATCTTCGATGAAAAAATATTTTGCAGCGCGCAACACCGAAATGCAGCACTGATAAGCAGCGCGCAACACTGATGATCGCGTCTGAAATGCTGCAGGTCCGATGGATTTCTTCTCTCCGGAAAATGCCTTCACAGAAATATACGGATATGTTCACTTCAAATCACAGAAGCACTTAGTCGAGGACAACGTCGCACACCAAAATTCGCGCTACGCAGGAACTCCAGGAAAACGTCCGCGAGAACGCAAAGCTCACAATTCACACATTTTCAGTCGTAGTAGAGCCTACCCGCACTGTACAACAAAGGGACGTCGCCATGCTGAATTTATTGTGTGTGGATTGTCGTGGCTCGGCTCGATATGCTACGCTACCCTGCCTCCACAGCCAGAACGCACAAACTAATTTTAGTAGAGGTCAATGCATGCAAACGATGGCGCAAAAATAGGTGACACCGAAAACCTGCCGTGTTCCACTTCGGTTACGTAATTCTGGCTCTTGACGTCGTGAGAAAGCACAGCCTTCAATATTGGCTACCAAAATGCATTGCCTCCAAGATTGGCTACCAAAATGCATCGCCTTCAAGATTCTCTACATAAAAAAAAAGCAGAGTGAGCGTGGAATTTAGACACCGCCTATCTTCCTTCTATGGAAATTTCATTTCCCTGACTATAGCGTTTCGCCCAAAGCGATCGGCTGTGCGAGTCATTAGTAGTGTGGGCAGGTCCCAAGACAGTTTTCCCTGACTTGTCTTGCTTGACTGACGAATTCCCTGACAATTCCCTGACTTTTCCCGATGGCTGAAAATTCCCTGACATTTCCAAGTTTTCCCGGTTTTCCCTGTCGCCAGACACCCTGTGCATACCATTGACTTTTCAGATGCTAAATTTTTTCATACATTCTTGACAAATTTTGATGCCTTGGCCACACACCACAACGTAACCCACAGATCCAATGAATAAAGATATCTGAAATGTTGGCAGGCTGATACCCTTAGCTCTTCTAATTTACACTTAGTACATATTGTTCCCAGTGTACTGTAGTAGCCAATACTAGATTTTTCATTGATAAGGTTTAGTTAATTATTCTTAATTATGTTTGTAACTCAAAAAGTACTCACCTGATCATTAAAATAACCATGAGGCATATGTATGCACGCTCAAATGACATTTAACTGTCCTATTTTCAGCAATGTACTAATTACATGCACATTTTTTCTAGCTCGTAAAGAAATATGAAAAATAACATACGACTATGCTCCCACTCGCAAAAAGTGGGTGTGTAATCTTGACTTGCTTCCTCACAATGTCCTTGTTTGAGGGCGCTGCTTCCTGATGCGCGCTGCAGTCTAGTCATGTATCATTTTTCAGATTTTGCAAGCTTTCTTTATCAGCCAGAAAAAGTGGTTAATAAATATATGTTAGCCAAAAAACTTCACAGCATATCCACGGAGTGAATGATTATAAGTGGGACGAAACATTCATTCGTCCGTCTGACCGCTGCCCCACTCATCATCATTCACTCTGTGAATATGCTGTGAATATTATAACACTATCTCTTCCGCTTTCATTGTCAACTATACGAAAACCACTAATGCTATCTAGGGATAATATTTCCAAGGACATATATCCACAATGCTAGCTAGTGAGCAATTCATAAACTAGAGGTATATATACCACATACAAATGGACGAGGGAAGGACCCACACCCTGAGGAGATTTGCCCCTAAAAAAGCAAGCACCCAGTACATTGTTGAGAATACCACAATTAGATGTCATTTCAACGTACCTACATCTGCCTTATTGACATTTTTATGATTTATTAATGGGTATTTGTCGAGCTGAAGATATAATTAGAACTAATTACCCAAACCTCATTATTGAAAAATTAGTAGTGGCTATTATATATACAAGAAAGATGATTACCGTAACAATTAAAAAACAACTAATTGTCCCATTTCATGTATGTTGCACAAATCTAACTTCTGGGTCAACTACAAACAACTGCTCATATTTACAAATGCAAAAATTTGTTAATATTGCTATGTCTTAATGGCTTGTGTATTTCATCCCATCCCAATTTAATGTTCAAAAGGGCGTTCAGGGTATAAAATAATCAGAAAACAAGTGTAAAGAAATGGGACAGTGCCACAGTCCCATGACATAGCATATGTTCCTCAAAGGGACACTAAAGAGTAACAATAACTTGGTTTAGATTGATAAACTGCACTCTGTGAAATATGATGCCATAAATTTCACTGTCGTAAGTTCATTACTAGCGGTGAAAATCAATGAAGTTTCATTTTTAAATTTTACGTAGAAATCTCTGCGCATGAAGTAACAAATTACAAAATGTATTTTTTGTATTTTCGCAACAATCACTTGATGAAATTTTTTGAAACTTCCAATGCTAGGTCCATGGCCCCCACAGATGACAATGTACATAATTTTTATTGAGTAAAAGCTGTGCGAGACCCAGTAGATGCCTTCGAAATTTACTACATGATAGTGTTTGGCACTAGAATCTCAGTGTAGCCTCTTCACCCGCACTTTCTTTTTGCACGTTTTCTAGTTTACCAAGCGTGATGTCATGGTAAGAATGGTGTTTTCGAGATTGTGAAAATGTCCCTTTACTTTTACGCTAAAAATCGTTTTGCTCTTTGATGTCGCCTCAAGAAACATGTATACACCTGATGTCTCTTGCGATAAAACAAGCACCGAGATGCTCTGAAGCAAACTGGTTAGTTTTCAGAGCTATTCCAAGTGTGGCATGTCGATATAAGGTATTGGTGTAAGTAGACAGGACTACATTCATTTTTTTAGGAGTGCTCAATTTTTCTCACTCCACTGTCCTAGAAAGCAAAAAAAATCAGACATTGCAAGTATTCCCCTTTTAGTGAATGTAGATTACAAACATGAGTGATTTCTTCTCTGCGAGTGGTCCTTTTTACATATCCGTAAGCAAAAAGCTGCGCGACTGAGACACGGAAAGAAAGAGAGTATTGATTCCACACACGAAGTGCAACATTGTACAATCTAATGGCAAACCAACAAACCCTAATCAAAATGTCAGTGAATTACACATTTGTGTCACCCTTTATCAAATTAGACAACCATAGTTACTTATAACACCTGGGGGCCTAGTACAGAAGAGTTCCTCAAAACCTTAGTCAAGTGAATATCCACACTAGGATGTAAACCACGGCCTTAAAAACCTCTGCTTAAAAAATAGAACAAACCTTGCTCTTCATAGACTTCAGCAATGCACCACCTTCTTTCTGAAAGCAGAATTAAAACACCCAAAAGGAAAGGTGAAACTCAGTAAGTACCAAACAGTGAGTGACATACAAAAAATTTAACACCCCAAATCACGAGGGGACTATGAGAGATCCTGCAGTCAAGGACCAGAGTTGGATCTTGATTGGAAAGCTCAAATCTCTAAAAATTCCTTTTTATATTTCCCTCCCATCACATATGACACCTCTTGTATAAATATACAGACAAAATAAAATCATTATAAAACAAAACACACAAAAATGGACAAAAGTACAGGGTAAATTTTATGAAAAGGAACACGCAAGCACGTGACCCGCACTCTGTCACGGCTGCTTAGAGCACCGTCAACTGACAGATAAAGAAAGCGTTTTCGCTTTTCACGTCATCTGTTAGCAAACGAAACAAGTCATGACCGTTGGAGAAGGGCTGCTAAATTGTGCTCCTGCTCTGGTCACGCAACAGCTGATGTCGCCAAAAGCGGACGTGCTTTTATTATCTGTTGGCTGATGGTGCTGTAGGCAACCACAGCAGAGCGCAGACCATGCGTTCGCATATTCCATTTCATAAAAATTGATACTGTACATAAATAGAAAAATCCACTCCCTCAAAAGTTTTTTTTTCAATTCTGCTGCAATTACATTTGCCATGTTTTTCTGCAATTCCTTGACAAAATTTAGCCTTGAGAAACGAGGGGTTTCCCTTAAAATTGCTTTGTTATATGATGCTCTCACAATCCCTTAAGATTCCTTTGTTACACGATGCTCTCACAATACATTCCCAAAAAGTAAATTTTCCACCATTTTCAAGTTTGCAACATGAGGAAGTCAGATGGTAGCCTTCTGGTCAGAAGTGATGGCTGCAAATGCGCAGATCAAAGCTCCAATTGTGTATTGAGAGCCCGACGCTCAGTGTACAAATGCACTGCAGTCTCTCTACAGGCTGGTTGTCTTTCACAGGCACACAATGCCATACTTTTAAAGGTTGCCTATAGCTACACTTGTAGACCACAATGCAGTAAAGGTGCAGATAAAGCACCCTCATGAAAATTCACTCTGAAAATTAAAAACTTTTAATTACCATATAGGATTTCAAATTTTTTGACTGGCTGGGTGTTTTTCAATGTATTTTAAAGCCCCTTAAGGGACCGACAATCAATTTTTATGGTCCCACTTTCTTTAGTTCAACGAAAAGCTTACTGATATGAGTGTATAATGATGAAATGGTAATGTAGAAAATGCAACAGAACATTTCTGATCTGAATTGTTCTATCTGTGGCAAATATGAAGTCATATACATACGTGACAATGCATGCTGCAAATAGTGAGCACAAAAGCAGTTCAGGTTCGGATGCGGTGGTTTACTCTTCATGCATGCACACTGGACGCATGGGCCATGCTCCACATAGGCCACTGGCGGCCGCGAAGGTAGCACTGCTTTTCACTGTGCAGCTACTTTTACCTCTTAAGCAGCACATTAAGGGGGGGTCAACGCAAACTCCAATTTTCACAACTATGGTCCACACAAAAGTATCCCACTACATGAAAACACAAAGCAAAGTAATCGACCCCATAATCAAACTTCAAGGCTCTCCCGGTAGGCTGCGCAACATACTGGTTTTCATTACTTTCAAACACGATTTGAAAGTAAAAATCCTGCTTAGCTTGCAAAGATAATTCTTGAATCTGTCACAATAATTCAGTCTTTTAATTTCCACCATAATCTAATCCCCGTTCTGGCCAGTTGTCGGTCCATTTATTTGAAAGTGCTTAATTGTGTAATTCAGTTAACTCATATTTTTTGCTAGTTCATGCTGAAAAATACATACTATACAAACAATGCTGTCCTATCGAGGAAGAAATAAAGCAAAAAAAAGACAGCCACCCATCAAATGAGGTGAGTGTTGCTGCAGTGCAGTGATGTAATGCTAAAATAGTGCACTAAATGTGTGCCCTAAGTACATGCACTTGCACACCTCGTATAAGTATCAATGTGACTGCCCTCACTCTACAGACTATATTCCGTAAGACATAAGGGCACAGTCATCTTGGGCTGTTTAGTCGATGTTCTTTCGTTCTTTTATACCACGACGTCAATTATTAAAACCATGAAACATCGTATGCACCACCACAACCGTTTTCCTGTGTATGCTTACATGTGATAGTGTTCGTTCAGTTGTTAAAGACAGAAAACACGAAGGTTAACAGACCAACATGGCGGCCCTCAAACCCACCCGTAAAATAGTCTATAAGCATTACTAGATATTATTCAGAGCTGCCTATGTTGTGTTTGAGGGGGAAAAAACATGGCAGTTTTTTTTGTGCATACAGTCAAACTCTGCTACAACAAATGCTGCTTGAACGAAATTTCCGCTATAGCAAAAAATTTATTGCTATACAGTTATACAGTAATATTTATTGCTATACAGTTAACACAGTCTTTAACATTTTGACGCATTTTCAAAACTTAAAAATATGTCTAAAACACGCGTTGGCCCCACCAGAGACCACCCCTGTTCTGGAAGCATGGCAGCGCCCATTGCTCGATAGCGATGGCAATGAGACTGCCCTGATTTTGCCACTGGCTTGCTTTTGAGCCGCAGATGATCCAAAGCTGAAGCTCAGTCGCTCAGTTCATGGTTTCTTTCACGCAGCTGTGCAAAATTACGCCTTTTTCGATGCCAATATGTATCAATTTTTTCGCGCTTGCCTATTGTGGTAACTTACCAGTGCAGCTGTTCGTCCGCATTATCAACAAAATCAACTAGCCGCGAGTGGTGGATGATAAGGATGACATAGAATAAGGCAAAAGTGACCGCTCCACAATACCCTGCCTCCATCTCGGTGTTGTCGGATGCACTTTGACGGTGGACAGCTGCTAATGTTAACGTGTTAATGCAGCTGTTTAGTTCGTTCACGAAAGCGGTTGTAGGCTTGTTTCAACATGCTTTTCACCATGGCCACACGATGCATTGGTGAGAATCGCGTCGTAACGCTACTGGGAAAAAATAGGAAGCAGCGAACACTTTTCGAATTTTGAGAATAAACGTTCCTTTGTTTTTCTAGCTTAAATCAGGTATATTTTTTCGATTTTACTGCATCGAAACTTTCGCTTTTACAAAACTTTTTCCGTGGCCCGTCAGTTTCGTTGTAGCGGGGTTCGACTGTATAACCCATCCACTTGATGGACCTTCAAAATTTAGAGGGTTCCTAGTTGACATGTACCATATTTTTTTTTTTTTTCAAACAAGACAATGTGTACAGAAAATTTGAAGCTAAACTCAAGGTAAGAGTTGTATGCAAATTTCAGTGCGTATGTTGCCTCCACGGCACTACTTCACGGCGGGGCTGAGAAGTATTGTGATACAATGTAATGCAACGGTTTCTTAGAGATACTTTTTGAGTATTTGTATTCTTGTATACAATTGAAATACAATTGAAGAATGCATTTGTATCTCAGTAATGAAACACTTTTACAATGCAAATTATACAAAGATTATATTGTGATACTGACGGACATGAATATCTACTTTCTACTTTTGTCGGAAACGCACTGAAGCATTTCCAAATGGAAAAGGAAGACTTTTTCTGTGCTAAGCCCAGCAGAGGCATGTTGCTAGTCAGCGACACATGGAGGTCGCAAAGAAGTCCCCACACATGCAGACTGACCCATGTGGTAAAGCATCCAACGCCGCTAACGACAGAATCACAAACACAGTATTGTCAGTCTCTACAAATGCAAGCTGCTATGTCTCAAGGCTGGTGCAGCACCTTTATTCTTTTTCCGGGCAGCCAGGCACTTAGTGATTTTGTGAGACTAGTGTTGAGCAGAACCAATGCAGTCTAGAAGGCCGCCTATTCGAGAAGCTGCTGTTGCAGTTTCATGAATCAAAACAGTTTCAGGGACCCTTTAAGCTGACACAGATATACATTTAAATATTACATCTTAAGTGTAGATCCTCACAGAACATTTCAAGATACACAAATGGCAACATTTTGTTAACTCTGAGGTGAATATAACAATGCCTTTTTTTAAGTAAGAAGGGTGTCATTTACTTCAATTAATAAAATTTTTCTCTCTCTGATTCGTCCTCTTACACTTTTGTCTTTAGCCATAATATATTTAACCTGCAGTGTGCTGGGCCCCAATGATGTAGTGCAGTTCTATCAATTTAAAAAAATTACGCACCTTCATGTTTGCCAACCAGTACTTGTAATGCTGTTTGAACTGCTTATTTGAGCTGTCATCAAACATGTTCACCTCGAGCTCAAATATGTCATTGTGGACCTCACAGGAGTTGAGAATCTGCAATCTGCCTTCAATAAACTGCAATAGAAGAAGACAAAAATTCTATAGTTACAATGTGACTCTAGTACCAATGAAAAGCAGAAGCACCAAATACACGGTACCTCATCTAGTGTTAGGTTCCACTAATTATTTATTCATTCAATTAGTCATTCTATTATCTCTGGTGATCCCTCTATAATGAGGGTCCAAACGAAAAACATGAAACACATCGACATGCTTAAAAGCAAATTCCTGTACACTTTTTAGGGCGGCATTTCAGGAAATTAACAAGAAAAATGCGAATCATTAAAAAAATCAACTTCAAAAGGTTCAACAAAACTATATGCAAGAATTCATAGGGTTTAAACTCAGTGCCATGAAAATGCAACGTAGCAGCCAAAAAACTGTAACAGTGAGAACCATATCAATATGGTTAACTGCAAATACTTCTTATCACACCTGAATGCGCTCAAACTTCATTTTAACAAAGCTGGATAGAAATCCTAAATTACTTCGTTATTTCCACAATTTCAACATCCTCATTATTACCTTATTTACAACATCTGCCAGTAAAATGGAAAACTTCAAACAAGCAAAGAGGAAGACAGCTTTGTAGCCAGTGGTAATGCTGGAGAGCCACGTATTATATGCGATGATAATTCAATTAAAGCAGTAGAAAAATTTATGGCAATGATATAACGTTCCTCTTGGAAACTTCAAGCGTGAATTGTGACGACTGTACCAACAACAGGCTCGTTTTTCGGTCTTACTTCAGCTTGATGACATGTGCCTTCGTACCCCCATTTTGACAAATGCCACTTTGCTTGCATGTAAAGGTGTCCTTTCATAACGTGAACTGCTGCTAAAGTGTGAAAAAAGATCAAAGAATCTTTAAGCAACCAACCTCTGGAAATTTTAAGGGCACAGTACCTACGGTGTCCAATATGTTTTGTTCTACCCGTGTCTCTGTGCCGCCCTTTCTAAATAACTAAATTAAGGACACATAATGAACGGTGCCCTTATCCGAACTAGCGTGTGACAGGAGAGCAAGGCGAAGCACATTAACCACTGGAATTCTCTGCGCACATGTGTATAATTTACTCCTACAACACAATGCTAATGAAAGACAGGACCAGCATTCCTGCAAGCAGGTACCACCAACATCAGATAGACAGTTTGCCCATTGTTGGCTAAACTTTATTTTCAGCTGGCCACTATGCAGCATAGCCATCAGAAGAACATGCCTGCTGAAACTACTCATCGTCCTTGTTGTGCACATTTGCTTTTCTTCTGCAAGTGAGGGCGAAGCGAGTTAAATGCATGCCTCGAGTGTTGGAGGTACAGTGTCACAGGGTGCAGTGAGGCATGTTACCCTACTCTAAAAACCACAACTGCAGAAGTTCCGTTTAAGGTATGAAAAACTAAGGCGCTAAAAAAAAGACTCATGTTTTGGTTGCAGTATTTGAATTCTGAAATACACATTTAAATATGAACGTGTGAGAACACTGTTCTTGAAAACATCCTAAAAAATTTGATATGTATTGCAAATTTCATAAGCACTACTATGTTTTCCAAAACACTGTCACACACACTTCACTTCAAGTGACCTTCCAACTTTGGTCAGGGCTCAGTGACTTGCCAAGTTTACGTCAGGAATAATGAAAGAACCACCAAACATGATTTTTGTGATCCACTTGGCTTGTACCAAACGCAAGGGAGGAATAGAGTACAAAGGTTTGGGAGCAGTACTGAGAGCAGGCAAAACTGCCTTTTGTAGCAGGCTTGAAGCAGCCAGAAACACCTTTCTAAGCAAGTTTGGAGAAGTCAGAGATTGAGAACGTTCAGAGCAGATGCAGCCCTCAGAGCAGATGCTCAGATTTGGGTGCACGTTGAAGAGCCCAGGTGGTCGAAATCTTCGAAGCCCTCCACTACGGCGTCTCTCATAATCATGTGGAGGGATTTGGGACGTTTTAACCCCCCATATCAATCAATATCATCGAAACGTACCAGCCGCTTGAACAAGATGAAAAGACGTGAGCGTCGAGGGGGGGGGGGGGGGGAGTGTAGAGGGAGGGGGCTTTACTCGAGCAGCAACTGTGAACTTTGCTTCTAGAGGCACGGTCGCGATCGCTGCTGTGCGCGCTAGCTCGGCAGCCATGAGAGGACGGCGCACATACACTTCTCAAGCTATTGTATATCCTACCTTTAGGTTAAAAGTAACATATACAGTAACTCTAACTTCAACGTGCTGCGCTCTCATCGTGAAGAGACTGTGCAAAAACTGTTACTCAACCCACAGTGACCATGCTCCCTCACACCAGCGTTTTCTAGAGCTACGCAAGGTCGGATCTTAAATTCATTGCTATTGCATTGATTGCTTAACTCTTGCGATAAAGCTGTGACTTTTTTCAGCTATGTACAGCCAACCATTTGCTAAACCTAAACGCGCGAGCATCAACTTCAGAGTTGATGAGCACCAAATAACGAAGCACAGAGGCTAAATGAACGAGAATAGGTGAGCGCGCCCTGTGAGCAGTCTTGTGCACCTGTCTTCACTTGTTCTGGGAAACAGACACCACCCCCGCTTCTCCCGAGCACCTTTTCTTTCTTTCCTGAATGCTGCTATCGAGTTAAAAAATGAGTTCCACGACGACACCATGTCTGCGATAGCAACGAATTGTAATGTTATATGAAGGCTGGCAGCTAACCCTTTCGGATCTGATATTGCGTAACTTTACAAAATGTTGGTGTAAGAGAAAGTACGGCCGCACCAGGCAGTCTCTTAGCGTTAATAGCACAGTTCGTAGATGGATCCAGGAGCCATTCACGCTGACGCCTGCCGTGTTAGTGAGCGCGCCAGCGATTATGACCATCAAAGTTCAGAGCTGCTGCTCGAGCAATCATAGCTTGGAAGAAACTAAAAACACGATGTTGCAGCCATGTTTTTGGACACTGGGCTCAATCGCTGTCACGCCTTGCGGCTAAATTCGGATCGTGCAGCACAGTACAGTGCTGATAATCTAATTTGGTGCAACAGGGGTGGGGCGGCGCAGGATGGTGCAGGCAAACCAGCTTGGTACACAATGGCACCAATAGCACAGCTGTTCGACCCTTGGAAACATGATCCACATGGCTGCCGACCGCCAAGCCAAAACCAGCAGCAGTTATTTATCCAAAATTATGCCCAAGTAAAAGCACACCACAAAACTCTGCAACCAACTCCTGCTCGAGTTCATCTAAGCTGGAAAAGTGGATGGCTTGCATTAAAGGGGCCTTAAAACACTGCTTCAAAAAACCATGGAATGGATTCACTAAAAGAGCTTATTGCCTCACGAATTCAACGGCGCAAAAATTTTAAGAATCCGTTCAGTACGAGCGGAGTTACAAAGATTTGTCGCACGCTGCAATCGCATTTTCCCTTTTCTCGTCTCGATGAAAGTGTTGGAAGCAAAGCAGACTCCCCGGGGATGGCATGGGCGAAAAAAAATACTTCACGCATGCCTCGTACCTTGAGAACTTTTTAGGGGCGAAGCTCCCTAATTGAGCTGTGGGTCTGTACATGCATGCCTCTGTTGGTACGCGACGGTCTAGTTCTATGACTCACTCAGCAGGTGCAGATGGATGGACAGACAAACAGACAGAGGGTTGGATGCAGAGACAGATGGACGAACAGGCAGAGGATTCACGGTTTACCAATAAAACCCTCCGAAGCTTCACCCCTCTCATTCACTCCATAAATATGCTGTCATTTTTTTTTTTTCGAATACGTGGCTTTTTCACTGTAGGACGCATGCAGCGCTATAATATTTGGCTCGCCTGTTCTCTGGTGCCTCTACTACCGATTGGCAGTGTTTTCTGACCATACTCGAAGTGTTGCAGGGCCCCTTTAATGGCTTGCTTGTACGTCTTTCATACATGAACAACATTGTTTCAGCACTTTGAGGATCACTACGTAATTTCAGATACTCTGTGACATTGCCAAGCATTCTTTCAGTAGGAAATCACGTCAAAATGACGGTTGTACAAATGAACTGCCAGTGTTTAATTCAACTTTAAGCCCTCTATAAACACAGGGCTGCATTAATGTCCAATGTACATTTCATAACGTCCCTCACTGCCACCAGATGAAGCCCTCAAGTTTTATGCAAGGTGTAAAGAACATACAAAATCAGTGTGCACAAGAATATTAAGACATTCAAAATAACCGTATGCAATGCGCTTGATGACTGCAGCTGCATGCTTAACAGCATAGCTACGTTTCTTGCTGTAAGAGAACCCATAATAAGAAACTTGATTCCCAGATAATCACTGACAGTTAAAAAGCTTCACTGTGTGTATACAATAAAAAACAATTTTCTTTCCCTTCATCTACAAAATTCAGTGTCCTTGTTCATAAAAATTTGATAAGACAATGCAATGTCACGAAACTTCAGGCTTCCCAGCAATATATAAGCACAGCCATGTGACAGAAGTGAAGCTTTATAATATTTCACACATGAACGGTTTCTAGCGAGAAATTAATACTGCACTGCGACTCGGCAGCAGTGTGCCTCTCAACAAGTGTTTTTTTGCATGTGTCATTGCATATTGCTGAAGCTTCGTAGCAGCACATAAGCATTTTGTAAAGCCTCGGTCAGAGTTAGGGTGTTATATGAAATAAAACAGATATAAGCGAAGTGCGCTTGTGCCCAAGACGAACAAAACTATACTTACAGCTATGACACGCAAGTGTGCTTTTTATTAACCTAAAACAATGACGCGATGTTTTACCAAATCCCTAGGTACAGAAAATCAATGTTTTCTTTTTTGTGATCGGAGTTAGCAGTACAGTGAACTCGCTCTTGAAGGAACATCAATTCAACTAATAACTCAGAATAACAAGTTTTTAAAAAATCCCCAGTGGTTTTCCTATGCACTCTATGCAAAAATCTTTCAGTTAAAGAAACTTCTGAAGAGTGAACAATTCATTTCAACGAACATAATCTGCGGACTTGGGCTCATTTTTGAGATCATTTCAAAGAAGTTTTGTGTTCTGCAAC